ACAAACCTGCACTGTAATCCTGAGTTCGCGGGTTCGAGCCTGCGCAGGTGACCAGTCGACTCTCATAGTATCCTTAGCCCACGCGCGACTGGTGGTGGTTGTGCGGCAGCGAAGCGCCGTTACGGCGTACAACTGACACATTATTATTTTATTTATTTAATGATGCCGCAAAACATCGATCACTTTGCCCATTACATATGCTCGTTAATCGTAGCGGGTGTAGAATTCTGCGCTGAACTCGAATTTCTCAGTAGACACTGCCTGCGATTAAGGAGTGACCTCATATTGGTATATGAAATATTGAGTAATCCTTACCACACATGCCGGCATTTGCTGGAATTCCGACAGAACACCAATCTCAGAGGAAACTACCTAAAACTCAGTAAGCAATGTAGCCTTATGGAGTGCAGACAGAACTATGTTTCCTTTCTTGTGTGACAATCCTGTAACACTACACTACATGCAGTTATCACTGATGCTATTTTGTCTGTCTTCAATTAGTGGTCGGGTATTACTCAGCTCATTGCATTGTATTACTTAACTAGTGATACGTTTGGGTATTTCTTGCGGAGGACAGGGAAGGGAGTGAAGAATTTTATTTTTCTTACAATAACTGTCTAGAAAACACTGTGGAGACATTGGATGACTATGCTTAAATGCGCCGAATAAAATAGACCCCAGGACTAAGCCATAGCTCACTGTCACTTGTCTAAATGCCAGTGGGCATGCGATATTTTATACTATGTCGAAAATGTGCATTATTAGAAGTACAAGAAGGGTAGAAGAGTAGTTTATTTTGTGATACCACTGCACCTATTTTTCGTACACTTCCACAAGCAATGAACATTTTGTGTCGATGAGGTTCTTGCTTCGGCTCACATAGCGCACTCGTACACTAAGCATTCAGGTCGCAATGCTCCTCATCCATTGGCTGTTGGGCTAGCTTCTTCTAACCGTTCGTTCACTCTGATAAGACACCCTCGCCACATCCTCGCTTTCTCTGGCTATTGCACTTCTACCTCGCTAAGCACTTCGTACACTGTACCACCCCGTATTGTCTTCTTTATAAGTGCCAGTGTGGTCTCGTCACTATGCGCTATAGGACGCTCCACTTTTATCGACATTGTTGTTTCCGGTGTTGGGTGAACTTCACTCGGTTTCGTCTGATTGTTTTCTCTTCTTCACTGACTTCATATGACCTCGAAAAGGCGTTCGCGGTCACGGCACCTTTTCTTTATGTTTCGTGAACATCCGGCACTGGTTGAACTACTACTTACTCCTTCGATGTCAATTCCATAGTTCCTGGGCACCGCCTCAGGTGGGCACTGTGTAACAGCAAATCCAAAGTTTTCTTGCTATTGTATAAAGCAGTAGTTAGGCCACATCTGTAGTACTGTGTCAAGGTCCGGGTACCGTATCTCCGTGGGGAGGGTATTTTTAAAGAAAAGGCTCACAAACTGACATCTTGGATGGTGGTAGGTCCACAAGGAGGCCGTGTGAAAGTTGTCTAGGAAGCCTAGGGCTGTTTTCCTTTAGAACAGCGTAGAATGAGAGGCGATCCGATAGAGACGTTCAAGGTAATGAGGCGCCTCAATGGTATAAAACAAACCGATCTGTTTGAGCTACCTGCGTTGTTATGCTCTGCGCAGACACCACTTGAATTTCAGACAACTGAGAGCTAAACTGGACATCAGAGCGACATTTTTTTAAGGCCGTGTAGTTAATAGCTGGAATAAAGTTCCTTCGGATTTAATAAGTTACGAGACTGTAGTAGCCTTCAGAAGGGGCCTAGATAGATGTTGACCAGATTTTTATTTCTAGTACTACTGTACTTGTATTAGAATCTGTAGCACCTAGATCTCGTATGGTGAAATCTAATATTGATCCACGGAAGTGCAAATCTTGCTTCAGTTCTTGATTCACTTCTTTGGCAAAGGCAGGGAGAGTCAAACAAACATCGAGGTGTCTGCGACATTATTTTGCTTGGCAGTACAGGAAGCATGATGCTCGTTTGGCGGAAGCCCGTATCGTCCTGGGAACTTAATCTGATCTAGCGAGGTAATCGATCAGCATAACTCCCGAAATCAGAGGACACTGAAGGTGTTGTGGTACCAACCGTCCGATATAAGGCAGCGAATGCTTCAGTTGCATTATCTCAATTATTAACTCAACAGTATTTGTCAATAGGCCGACTGCCACTTGTTTGTAGCGAACTGCAGAGTCTGATGTAGACTACTCACATTCCTCTTTGAGGGGAACCCTGAAATAGCAAACGAGATCCCTTAACAAGACTACTATGCAGCATTATCCCTTATCCGATTTCAAGATTGCAAGAAGGAAAAACCCTTCAGCAGGATACGGTGAATTCAGATGCTCTGGATATTCCGCTCAGTTGTTAACATACGGTCGTCAGTGGAAAATTGTGCCGCATATAAGAGGAACCAAGTTTCAACATCATTCCATTTAAATTCGAAACGATCGAATTGCGTCAGCAACTCTAGGTGGTGCTTGTCATTGGCTCAGTGTACCTGCACAAACTGGTGTTTTAGTCGCCGAATCACTGAAGCTCCGGCAAAATGAAGCAGGGGAGCATTGCTTTCTTGGCTAACTATCCTGGACGGTTCGCTGAGATTTTGGCATGCACATGCCGCCTTAGGTTTGCTCAGCAACAAGGTCTGCCCACAGCTTAGGGCCATTCGGATCTATATTGCATGGAATGTGCTCTGAAAGCTTTGTCGACAGCCTTCTCAGTTTCACCAACTAGCTTTCTACCATAAGTACAGTGAAAGAGATATACACGTGGTAGCTTGAGCGTCTGGCTTGTCCAAAATGGATCTACATGACAGTTCCCCCCCCAAGTTGGTGTAATAACGCAAATTCAGTATCGTACTAACACTGCACTATAATCTGGCGGTGACAACATTGGACTCTTCTTTCAATGTGATCCCCTTTAAATTTTGATGTAATGGACAGCTTTTCTTGCGAACGCCTGTCAATCGTCCCCTACTGTTCTCTGTGTTGGTTTATCGTGCTACACATCTCTCGTGGTATTCATTTACACTTAGCATTGATGGTACGTGCTTCAGCTCACTGTCAATCGTACCTTTAGAGCAAACTTTAAGAGCGCCGGTGAAAGCGGTGCGAACCAATGCTTGTTTGCAGTCTGTAGGACAGAAGTTGTCAAACCTGGGATATTATCCTGTCCAATTGGACGTGTGATACAGACCAAGTGAGCGTACAGTCTGAACTTCTTTTCACGTTTACATGGAGATTCTAGATGTCATCCATTTCATTTTCCATTGTGAATTTGATTGCAGAGGGACATACATTTTGAAACGCAAGTAGGTGGTACCAATCACAACGATCGTGTCGTCAAGGAATCTACTACACGAGCGTACCTTTTGTATGTAATCACTGACCCATGAAACTATCAGCCAAGACTAACCGAAGTAGGTTGTCCATCACTAAGACATCAATCTATCGATAGACTTTCCATTGCATTTGAAGTGAATGCCTCGTGAATGGACACAGTAGCGACCTGAGGTGATGTGATGGAAACCCGACTTTGTCAGCATGAGTGCCGGTAATGTCTGAATTCCCTTACAGTGGGACACTGATGAACGATCAGCATGCATCAATAGTAACCATGTTTTCCCTCAGCATTCAAACCCCGTATCTCGTCGACCAATTAGGATGTATTTTTGAGAGTGTATCCAGCTAGCTCACTCCGGATATGCTCGATAAGCTGTGCTAATCATCATGCCAACTTGTGATGCGGTGCGTTTACTATGAAGACGATTGGACGAAGGGGAATGTCCTCGTGATACTTCGGTAAACCGCTCAAATGAGACAGCAGAGCCACGTGTGTGCTCAGCTGTGGCATAGTTTTGCGCCAATAAACCCAGTTTTCAGCTGCTTTTTCAGTTCGAGAGCTATGGCTTTTTTTAGCCTGTTCGGTTATATCGCGATACGTCAACTCACGAACAAAGTGGGTAGTATCTACAAGAAGTGACTACAATGACTACCCTTGCTCTCTTGTCAGGTTTCCGTTTCCATTTCGGCGCATATTCATTAGCCATTCCCAGTAGTTCCGCATGTTTTGACTTCAGCAACACAAAATTGTTTAGCTAAGTCCACCACCTTAGCCCTAAACCAACCGTATGCGTGGTCGGTGCCGTACGTCATACAAATATTTCAACTATGCCTCAATCCCTATTCTGTTGCACGTACCACTACTATCCGTGCTATCACTACTGTGGTCACGGCCTAGCACTATGACGTTTTCATCCATGGCTGTCGGTTGAACAGGGTTCACTAGTGATTGATGCTTTGAATCTTCCACATTTTCGATTGTAGTGCTTCTGGAGTGAAGACGCCGTGTTATTGATGTATTCTTCACCACCCCGGACTATCGCTATTTATGACACTTTAACCTTTGCACTACTTCAATTCGTTGTAGTGTCGCTGTGATACAAGAGTGTCTAAGATATCATAATATTCCTTAACTGCTGAAGTGTAGTCATTATCTAGAGACGAATTGTTTTTGAATTGTGTTGGTTTATGAACCGCATTGAAACGCTGTGCAATATAGACGAACAAAGAAGCGATCATCTTTTGGTGCCTCATGCCACTTCCGAACTGTCGTGAATACCAATCTGCCATGTGGCTTTTTGATGTACCCAATTAGCTTCACCTCGATTGATCAGATGTAATAGTGATGCATTATAAGACACTTGTGAGATAGATATAGTGATTTATTGCATCGAGGTACCTCGGTGGTGTGTGATGCAACTTCATTTTCTCATTCATTGTCCCTTCTATAGAAACAGTATCCGTACATTCTGAGCGACGATATTGCTACAGAGGTTTGCCACTCTGCGCCGGATCAGAGTGGATCGGTAGAGCAAACTACAGCTGACAAGTCCAAGGCGCATGCAGAAACCCATCGCGATCGATCGCTGTCTTCCTTCAGTTATGGAGAGGATGACGGTAATTTGGTAATGGAGGGCGAGCAGACACGTTCACTGCTGCGTAACGTGAGTGACCGCGATGAGTCGGGTGCTCGTGCTACTGCTGTTGAAGCGGAGGTCAGAAAAGAAGGCGAATTGCAACAAGAATGTCCCAGCCCCATGTTTGACGAGACCACAACTATGCCAACACTGGGCAGTTCCCCATCAGACTCAAAGCCTAGACAGATTAAAGCACGCAGATCTGGCACTACTGGAGGCGAATCCGAAGGACCACCAATTGAACGGGCTTCAGTTGTCGGTTCCCCAAATCCACCACTTCCCCAAAGCCACTTTAAATTCTCTGAACAAGCGCCGCAGCCACCTGCTATGATGAACGCGGCAGTTCTTTCAGCAAATGGTCCCCTTCTACCCACAAAGAGCCACACTAACCTCGCAGCAGCTGGGGGAGGAATCATAACAAATGAGAAGTTCGCTGGTTTGCCGCTGCATACTAACGACCTGGAGACACTGCGTCCTCATTTAATGCACTTCTGCCACGCGTACAACGTTCAAATGGTAAGCTTTTCTAAATAAAATGAAGCCTTCCTGCAATTGTTTGTTACAAAATCTCCCATTATTATACATTCTATCAAATAGTTAAGGAAATGTATTACTTGCAGTTGATAAGTTTATAAGTATGCAGAACAACATCCGGATACATCGTTGAATATTTCTCACAAAGTTATCGTTATCCCTTTTCATCCTGCATACACTACTGTATTACTTACTTGGGTGGCGACGAACGTGTATGCAGACTCACACCAACTCAAACACAGATGCACAGGGACCGATGGGCCTCACGGCTCTTTTTGCCAGTACAACATAGTTTGACCTTGAAATGGCGCAATAGCTTATACACGGTTTTGAGATCTGTCGCAGAAGGACTCAGGCAACCACCACACATCCAGGAAAGTGCTAAGCGGTTGTTTCATACTATTGCGACTCGTCAGTAGCGCGCAGCCGCCGGATCCTACAGGACCCGAACGCGTGACCTCCCTCGTTCGATCTAGCTAGAGCACAGATCATCACCAACGCTAGCTAATTGGGACAACTACGTAACCCATCGTAAACACTGTACTCAAATACTCAGAGATGACAAAGTCGAATATCAGCAAAATGTGGCGAAAACTTTCAGCGGTAATCACAAACTGCTGTGCAAGTATGTCAATGGACGGTGTAAGGTGAGGCAGAGAATTCCTCCTTTCCGGACGATTGATGATCCAACTAGAACAGCCGTAGAAGCAGCAAACGCGCTTCGGACACAATTTGCTTCCACATTTCAAAGGGTCTCGCCATCAGGACATCTTCCAACTTTCGTTTTCCCGTCTCCAGGACTCACCCACATCTCTCTTACTGTCGAAGGTGTTTTGCGGAAGCTGACATCTCTACGCAATCACCGCTCCCCGGGAGTCGATGCCATTCGCTCAGAGGCACTGGGGACAACGGCAAGACAACTGACAAAACCTTTGATGCTGCTTAGACCATAACCAGATTTCTGCTATGTGTAAACTTGGAATAATAACTCCGATTCACAAAGATGGAAGCAGGACTGAGCCCTCTAACTACCGCCCGGAGACCCTTCTTTCTGTATTACCCAAGATCATGGGATCTACCGTAGCCGAGGCGTTGGTGTGTTATCTAGAAAAATGTAACATTATTACTCCCGAACAATACGGCCTTCGTCGACAGCGATCATGCACGACGAATTTATTAGTCGCGCGGAGTACTTGGACCGAGTCAGCTGCCACTGGAGAGGCCGTTGATGTGATTTACTTGGACTTGTCAAAAGCGTTCGATCGTTTAGATCATCGGGTTCCCCTTTCCAAGCTCCAATATTACGGGACCGGTGACCCTCTCTTGAGCTGGATCGCAAACTTGCTCCTGCAACTACAATTGGTGACGAGAGTCCGGAGTCCCCTGTCTGAACCAATACCAGTAGAGTCTGGTGTGCCCCAGGGCTCAGTTCTAGTTCCACGGGGGTTTTTGGTATTCATCAATGATCTTGCACGAAATATCACTTCAAATTTCCTGCTTTTTGCTGACGGTATTAAGAAATGGGGCCGGACTCAGGCGGATGCCGATCAGTATTCACTGCAAGGTGACCTAGATACGGTACGTGATTGGTCAACCCGAAATCTTTTACAATTCAACATACACAAATGCAACGTACTCATCATATGACACCAGATTGCCTATTCATACAGGCTAGGAACGCAAGTACTGCAGCGGTCATCCGTCGAGCGCGACGTTGGCGTCCTTGTTCAGGATACCTTGGGTTGTTCCAAGCAATCCGCAAAGGCGTTGCAAACATAACCAGCACGTCGGCTTGCTAGGACGGGTGTTCGGACAACTAGACACCAGTATTTTCAGACAGATGCTGAATGCGTATGTTCGTCCCCATGCCGAATACACAACCCAATACTGGCAGCATTGCCAGAATTACGACCCTACTGCACTGGACCAACCTCAACGTCGGGCTTCTAAATACGTCACTGGAATGCGCCACCTTCCGTACGAGCAGAGGCTGAAACGTTCGGGAGTATTCAGCGGGCAGTATCGTCGACTAAGAGGCGACTTGGTTATGACGTATTTGATTGTACACAATCCAAATCATGTGTGCCCCTCTTGGCTGCAACTCAGCAGTAACACCAAAGTTAGAGGCTACTCCTTGACACTAACAGAACAGTTCAGCCACCTGGCGCGGCGCAGAAACTTCGTTTCCATTTGTGCGTGTCAACCATGGAACGTTCTCCCCGAATCCGTTGTTTCAGCACCCACGCTAGCCATCCGTAAAAGTCGGTTGGATGACGCACTCCACCACTTACATTTATCTACTTGACGCTACAGTCCATCCTACTCCCGGGAAATACCTTGTATTCACTTTTTTCGACCATTGGATCTTTGGAAAGGCTCGGGGTGCAGGGCCACTGAAACAAAATCGATAAGCCTACTATTTTAACAGTAAAAGTACAAACTTCTTTGTTCATTAACGTTTTTCGCTACTCCAGCAAATTACCCAACGGGGCTTGTAAAGTAATGCTTATTAGCCCGTATAAAATCATTGTTCATTGTTCATTGACTCAAGCCCCTGAGCCATGTGTGACCACCGCGGTCCTCCATGACTGATATCTAACTGCGATATAGCACGACTCATCCTTCAATGTCATGCTTGTTATTGATAATGTAGAGGGCAGGGTTGTCTCCCAAAGCTACGACAACTTTACTTGCTTACCCATACAACTAACTGTACTTTATGCGTTTGCGGTTTTGGACACCATCGTAGCTACTACTACCATTATAGTCCATGTTTACAAGTGTTGTAAGTCAGGACAAGAAACGTGAACGGGTGCGGCTGCAAGGCGTACTTACAGCCACTTCAATGTCTTCATGTGCAGGGGATTTTTTGCTGTGATTGACAGGCATTTTTTCGCAGCTGCTTCTAAACCAACTAATCTTTTACATCTCCGGAGAAGCAGTAGCTGGCCGCTTCGCCTTATCGGGAATTGTTAGTAGTGGCTACCCATATCCTCCATCAGGATCCGTGCCCATGGCCGCTAGAATCTTACACTTTCATTCAGCAGCTTTGCCACCAAGCCATGGGAGACAGCAGCTGACCATTAAAATTTACAAGCGAACTGCGATAACGCGTGTCTCATTCTCCCCTGCTGTGGGAGTTGCGAGTTTTGAAGAAGACAGGGCTGGCTCCGAGAGACACGACTTTTATAACTAGCTATGTACGACGGCATTCGGAAGCTGTATTCATGAGTAGCGATGGGACAAAACGGCCGTTTCATAGTTTCCGGACATGAGGAGGACTCCGAGCTGGAAGCTACAGCGAAGAACTCACAATTACATCAAGGTCCGCTTGCTCACCCTCGCGTTTATGTACACACGAGTCACATTCACCGGCCGATAGAAGCGAATTAGTGATAACCAATCACAAGAGTCCTCCACCTCTAGGTTGAGAGTATCCAGCTTGGTAACGAATTCTCCGCTTCCCATGAACTAACCTCCACCGTTGTGTAGGAAGTGTCGAAGCGTTGTCTGCATTTGGTAATTCTTCCGATGATATTCCCATGGGTTAGACGATTCGTAATTTGCTTGTTTAACGCACTCACAGGCAACCACTCCGAAGCGACGCCGTTGCTTTTTTGTGGGTCAATCCTCACCAATTTGTTGCACATCAGTGAGCTTACACCCATTCGACTCGGATTTATCGGCTCCAAAAGGTGTGTACTTATCTTCCGGATTATTCTCCTTGTTTAACCTCTCATTCACGTCTGCATTTGTGACGGATTTCGTTGCTGAATCTCTACAGTGCAATAGTCCAGTTATAAGCATTGTGTAAATTTGCTACACTTGTTCCAAAGAGCTTTTTTGAGGCGATCAAGTCAACCAAAAGTCCTCCTTCTTCAGTACGCTTTGCAGTAGCTTCCTCACATTCCTTGGAACATTGCTTCTCGCTCAGCATTCAATTGGAATTGGTCGATAGCCCGAAGCCAATCGCCACTCCTTGTGACTTTGTCAACCAGTGCGCCGACTTAACCCATCACACTGACCAACGCAGCCATGTCGTCCTCACAGCATCAACTAGCCCACTGTGCCAGTTAACGACATAGTCTTAGCACTGCCACGACAACGTCTAGCGCAGTCAATGCGCCGGCCACCAGCCATGTCAACTCGTGAGCGTCTTTGGACGTGTTTGTGTGCCACGTGCACACCTAGCCGACAGAACATTCATCAAACGTGTGTGAACACCGTTATCACGGCTACTACTCGGATAGACATCACTGCAAACGACAAAACGCCGCATTCCAAACATGGTGCAAAGGCTCGAGGCGCTTTTGCCAATCAAGCCACCTAGGCCGTCAGCGCAACTTCACTGTCGTTTTGAAGGGCGGAGTTTACAATGCAGCCGTCCGTTCAACCCTGCTCTACGGTTGTGAAACCTGGCCCACCAGATCGACAGACATAAATATGCTTGTTCCGTTCGACCATTGCTACCTTCGCAGCTTGGCTCATATCTGTTTGAAGCATTACGTGGGCAATGAGTGTGTTCGGTGGCGTATGTTTGATGCAGGAAGAGCAAGTGATCCGCTCAGCTCATTAATTATACCATACATCAGACTCCGATGGGTGGGCCACGTGTCGCGCATGCCAGCACTCCGACTCCCATGTCATGCGTCGTTTGCCCACCGGTGGTGTGGACTGAAGAAAAAGAAGGGAGGCCAAGCGATGAGTTGGTCAAAAGGACTGAAGGCCCTCACTTCGAAGTTGACGTCAGTTGGTGTCTTCCGCCTGCCGGCCTTGGGTCCCAAGGACCGTCAACACGTTAGGTTGGGTAAATTATTTGGCATGGCGCAGAGCCGACCACAATCGTACTTGCGTTGTGAGTTCCTTTGTCCCTCCCCTCCTCTTTAGCTTCCCCCTCCAACTACGATGGCATGAACATTGTGTAATATGTAAGAGTGCATTTCTAGTTTTTTGCATTCTATACGATTTGATATTTTTGAGTT